CGCAAATCCCTCCATGTCCGGCGCTGGACCATGCGGCTGCTTCACATCTCCAAAGTGACTTATCCCCACTCCCAGGGACTCACCCCCAGGGCTTTGGCTGTGAGTCATTTTTCTTGCTTTTCCTGGTTGAAATGGGATGTTGTGAAGGACAAGAAACACAAGAGCGACTTCAGTTATGTGGGCACCATGAAAGGGCTTTCTCTGCTCTTCCTTGCTCTGTGGTGCAGAGGGGATCAGGGGATCATTCCCTTGGTGCTTGTCCTGGGGACACCAGAGCTCCCTGTCAAATGGACCAGAGGGAAGAGTGGGCTATGGGAAGTCCTAGGTCTTCTTTCAATGGTTGCGTTGAACCCCACATTGGAAACTGTGAGCCAAAGGTGGAAGTGATGCATAAGAGGTATGGATGCTGCTGAGTGCTAAATTTAATTTGCAGTATAATAAATTAAGTCATTGGTCACATTGACAAGTACATAGTTTACCTGCCCTGACTTGGCAAGCAGAAGAGACATCAGAGCCTGAATGAACCTCATGGGTTGTGTTTGATCTCCAAGGATGGGCTGGCACCTCTGTAAAAGGATTTATTTGAGCTATGGGATGCTGCCGGCAGTCCTAAAGCCCTCCAAAGGTACCGACCCTGCTGCTGACAGCAGATTGGCTAGACTTTTGATGTGCAGCACTCCTCTAGCTGCCAAATGCTCTCCTTGGAAAAGCAGTTCCAGCTGAAATGGTACCATTTGAACCCCCCTGGCCATCCCACAGACCAAGACACTGAAGTCTGAAAACCCTGCAACTGCTTCCTACCTGCATGAAACTCACTGAGTTTTAAGTGGTAGATACTTTGGAACACGAGGGTAATTACTGGCTCCTGGAGATTACTGTATAATTACACTTAATGGACCTCAAAGTAATTACCATGTAACCTGGATTGTGGTTTACGGAACAGAAATAACTGCATTTACACAGCAATGAGTTGCTGCCCAATTACCTTGTAATTCTCATCCTCTGGGCCCAGGCATGGTAATTGCATTATGATTTCTCTTGGCCCCCCCTCTCTCTTACATAGTCGTCTTCTTTACCAGTGTCCCTGCTTGGGAATTACTCTATGGCACCATCCTGGCTTTGCCCTGTAGGTATTTACACAGCACATCACCCCAGAAAGTCTCTCCAATTGGCCTTCCCTCCAGAGCTCCAGGTTATTTGACTTATTCCACATATTTCCTCTGGTTTTAACTCCTATCTTGGAATTCCCTGATAAGCATTCCCTAGGACATGAGGCTGGTCTGGATGGGCTTTATCTTGTGTAGCCCTGAAGAGCTTTGTATCAGACCCTGCTGCTGGGTTCCCTTTGCTGAGTTCCAGGGATGTGGCAGGTCCTGCTATGGCAGGGTTTGTCTCCCCATGCCAAGGGTCACAGAGGGAGTCTGCTGCCTGCACTACATGTGTGGATTTGAGCAAACGAATCCTGTAGGACCTACATCTCAAGCTCTGGAAAGGGTTCAGGTAGTTTAATAATTGTGTCTTGGTTTCACTGGGACTCATAGCATCAATTTTCTATTCAAGAAAGCTGCACTTTTGAGAAGACTGCAGTACTCGACTTCATGGGAATAAAGTCGGTAAGACACTTAGTTTCAGTTTTCAGCTGGCACTGGTATGCAGTTTTGAGTCTGTCAGGTGGAGAAGCTGGGGGCAGTGAAAACCAGGGCAGCAGACCCCAAGCTGGCCAACAAAAGTACCCATACCATAAGCATCGTGCTCACTATAAATTGGGGAGTTTGCTAAGGAATGGCTCTCTTTCCTCGATGGCTACCACCCCAAGGGGGTCTCTCCCATTCTTCTACTCCTGAGGTCCACACCCCTGCTTGTTGTGAGCATCACAGCTCAAGACCACTATGTAGGCTGAGTATAATTTGTGTATCTTACATTAATATTGGTATTAATATGATTTTCTTATTATTATTTTATTAAATCCGTTTCTATTTCAACCCATGAGTCTCCTTTCCTTTTCCCGGTTCCCCTCTCCAGGCTGGGAAGAATCATCGATTGATGGAGCAACTGCCTGAAGGACAACACGGCACTGGCAATCAGCAGAGGAGGAGGACAGGGCTGGTGACAAGACCACACACAAGCTCTGCCTCCACACTGTGTCCAACCTGCAAGGCAGTGGCTCAGCCCCAGCCCCCATGAAGCTCCTGTCCGCATCCCCAGGGCCCAGGAGTGAAACAGGAGCGATGTGTCCCCTCCTCACACCAGCTCACATTAATTAGATATGGGAGCTCTGTGTCTCACAGAAAGAATCACAGAATCGTTAAGGTTGGAAGAGACCTCTAAGATCACCAAGTCCAACCCCACTATGGCCACTAAACCATGTCCCCAGGTGCCACATCCACGGCTTCTTGAACCCCTCCAGGGATGGGGACTCCACCACTGCCCTGGGCAGCCCCTTCCAGTGCTTGACCACTCTTTCAGGAAAGAAATCATTCCTTATATCCAACCTAAACCTCTCCTGGCACAACCTGAGGCCACTTCCCCTTGTCTTGTCAGTGGTTACATGGAAGAAGAGACCAACACCCACCTCTCTACAACCTCCTTTCAGGAGCTGTAGAGAGCGATAAGGTTCTGATGCAGGCCAGGATGGCGTTGGCCTTCTTGGCCACCTGGGCACTCTGCTGGCTCCTGTTCAGTCGCTGTCAACCAACACCACAGGTCCTTCTCCTCCAGGTCCTTTCCAGCCACTGCTCCCCACGCCTGCAGCGTCCATGGGGTTGTTATGACCCAAGGGCAGGACCTGGCACTTGGCCTTGTTGAACCTCACACAATTGGCCTCAACCATCGATCCAGCCTGGCCAGGTCCCTCTGCAGAGCCTGTCTGCCCTCGATCAACACTGCCACCCAACTTGGTGTCATCTGCAGACTGACTGAGGGAGCACTCAATTCCCTCATCCAAGTCATTGATAAAGATGTTAAACAGAAATGAGCCCAAAATTGAGCCCTGGGGAACACCACTTGTCACTAACTGGATTTAGTTCTGTTCACCACAACTCCCTGTGCTCGGCCATCCAGCCAGTTTTTAACCCAACAAAGAGTAAACCTGTCCAAGCCATGAGCCACCAACTTCTCCAGGAGGATGCTGTGGGAGATGGTGTCAAAGGCTTTACTGAAGTCCAGGTAGACAAGCTCCAGAAGAGCTTGCTCTGACACACTCAGTTCTCATCTGAGTCCAAGTGGATCAGTGATGCTTGATCCCAAAATGATCTGTTGACAGATAAACAGCCCAGCACAACTGCTCACTCATTCATTGCAAGGCATATGTAGCTCATTATCAGCTGCTTGGATGCTCTTGGCCAGTTTCTCTCGGTGGTACCTGTCAGGTGCCCGTCACCAACACAGCCGAGTGCCTCATGTGCAGGCTCTGTTGCATAGGAGAAGGCAGGGCAGTACTTTGACAATTCACATCCCTTCAGTGAGGCTCAGGGAAGCACAGGAGTGGATTTCCAAAGAGAAGAAGCAATTAGAAGTGCAGGCAGGGCATTTTGAAAGCATCCGTCAAATCCCATTAACATTCAGATCACTGCACTGAATGAAATCAGAGGGCATTAGCAGTCTAAGTTGACTGACAGTCCCAAATCTCTCTCTGCACATAAGGTGCTTAATACCCTTGAAAGTCTCCTCCTGCAGTGACTTTCCAAGGTCACAGCGAGGTTTCGAAGCAGCGCAGGAAGCTGCAGAGCTTGTGCCAGGCTGGGTGTGTGCCTGTGCCCTCTGTTGTGCTACAAACCGAGGGCTGGGGTGAACCTGCGCGATGCCATGGGACCGGCCCCAGAGGAGAGGCACCATGAGCCCCATCCCCAGGTGACACAGCCCACCACCTCCGTGCTACCAAGACTGGGGATGCTCCATGTGTTGGTACAGGGTTGAGTTTCTGCCCAGCGATACCCGACGTGTCTGGGAGCAGCTGACAGATGGAAAATATTGCCCAACAGAGAGGAGGCTTGGCTCACCTGTGATTCACTAACAAAAAAAAGGAGCTTAGATCTGTAACTGGTATTATTTACAAGGAATAATTCACTGTGCTGTAATGTTTGCTGCTGTCTTTCTCTAAAAATGCATTTCCGTTCCAGCCCACATCTCTTCCAGGCAGGCTGCTCTTTCATCAGCAGATGAACATTTTGTTTGTACCTCCGTGTGTGTGCAAGTACGTACAGGACGGTTCTTCCTGCGCGAACACACACCTCTCCCAGAGCTGGCAGCATCTCCCTCCCCTGCACTCCACGGATACAAAGAGCATTGTGTTCAGCAGCTCCCTCTGGGCTATTTTAGCCATCTCTGAATGCTGGCACACTCTGGGCTTGCTGGAAAGTGGAAATGCAACCAGGTGTAGTCACACTGCTCCAGCCCGGCCGCCAGCAACCCCCGTCTGTTCAGGAGAGACAATGTGCCCCTGCTCGTTGCTTCCTGGTTTTTGGTGAGGTGAGCCTCCCTTCGGAAAACAAACCCAACTGTACTCATTAACAGCTCCCCTAAGTGATGCTTGCAGCCGACTGCTCTTGGTCCGTGCTCCCCTTGCCCTGCCCTGACTTGCCTCCAGCGCTGCCCTGTGCCAGGCCGATCTCAGCAGGGTTCATCTGCATGGAGGAGGCTGCGAGAAGCCAATATCTGAGATGTTCCCTGGGTGTCATCTCCTCTCTGTAGTGGGGTAGCTCTCTCTGAAGTCCAGACCCAAGCCAGGACACAAGGGGTGGCTTTCTTCTCCCTTCTCCTTCCTTCCCAG